GGGGGGAAAACAAACGCCACCCCGGGCGCGAGAGGCAGCCCCCGGCCCCGCCCCCTCCCGGCAAGAAGAAGGGCGCGCTGGATGATGGGGCACCGAAGGGCGCGCTAGCCAAATTTGAGGAGATTTCCTGCCCCGCCGAGGCGGCCGCGGCCAAGTGACAACGTTTTCCCTGGCCTTCCGGCGCGCGCGCCCCAGGCCGATATATGGCCGTCCGGCGGAGACGGAGCACGGATCCCCCACCCGCCACGGCGGCCGGCCGGCCGGCCGGCCTGCCAACTGGCGCCGCTCAATTGGGGCCGGACACGTTGGACGACGGCCGCCCCCCGGCTGGCACATGCTGCCTGGCCGGCCCCAATCGCAGCGGGGTCCCCGTTGTTCTCTCGCCTCCCCCCCGGGGGGGGGGGGACAGGGCGAGGGGGGTTCTGCAGGCGGCGGGCCTCGGGCACGCGTCGTGGCGATCTCCCCGCACACGCACACAAATATTAGGCCGATATATTGGCTTTCTTCCGGGGCGCGTGTGTGCGCTCGTCTTTTTCAGGGGGGCCGCCCAGCCCCGGGCGCCGCGCGAACACGGAGACCCCGAAGGCGGCGGGGACCCCTGGACTCGCACGGCCACACACATCTGCACATCTGCACGTTTGCACGCGTACACACTTGCACACTTGCACACTTGCACACCTGCACACTTGCAGACTTACACGCACGCGCGCGCGCACACACACACACACACACACACACACACACACGTATCTACATGCTCCGCCAGCCATCCCTCCCCGCCGGCCACCCCTCGGGCCTACGCGCGCGCGCATTCCTCGCCAAGGGGCGCACCTGGCGATGTGCATCCAGAACCGAAACACACCGCCATCCCCAGTATAACCAGCACGCGGATGCTTGATGTGTAGTTGTCCGTGTGTACACGTGATCCTCAATAGAGCTTCAGGCTGGAGGTCACCAGGTCGATGGCGGAGCTGGGAGCCGGCCCGATGGCCAGCACGGTCATCGACCCGGCGGCGATCTGCGTGCGACCGGCATCGCGGATGAACGCCGTGGGGAGGTCCAGCGACCGGGCATGGTCCCGGAGGGCGAGGCTGAACAGGCGAGGGGCCAGAGGGGGGGAGGGGGGGGGGGGAGGACCGGTGAGCGTCCATGCGTGGCGGCCCCGCCGAGGATGCCCACGACCGTGATGGCGGCCGGTTGCAGGAGGGGCGGGCGGGCGGGAAGGGGGAGGGTTAGAGCATGCGCGCCAGGGCGCACATCGCCCCAGACGGGGAGAAGGCAGGGAACGAGCAAAGGGGAGGGGGGGGGGGAAAGAGGGCAGGAGCGCGACGCACAGGTGCTCCTCCGAGTCGCCCTTGAGCGTGACCTTGGCCTGGCCGGAGTAGCGCATCCACCGGCGCAGGAGCGGCCGCCAGGCCGGGTTGTCACGCGCGCGAGAGTACGCGCTCAGAGTGGCGTGCGAGCACTGGGCCGCGATCTTGCCCTTCTGCATGCCGAGGTCCATGCGAATGACCAGGACCATCTTGTGCGGGACGTAGTTCTCCTCGTCGTCCGAGTTGTCCGACTCATCCGAGTCGCTGCTCTCGGCCTCGTAGTTCTCGTCGGTGTCGAAGTCCTCCTCGTCGGTGTCATAGCCGTCGCTCTCGACGGCCGGTCCTCCTGGCGCGACGAGGCACACGGCGGGCGCGGCGCCCGGCGAGGACAGGGGTGCGCTGAGTGTCAGTCTCCGGTGACAAAGCGGAAGTGGGAGCCAGCAGGGCGGGGAGCCACGCGCGGCGCTTGCAGGACATCAGGGCGGGGGAGGGGTGGGCGGTGCCTACCGGGCGGCGGCGGCGGCGGCGACAGGGCGACCGACCCCTCGGTGTCGGCCACCGGCTCTTCGGTCACAAAGGACTCGGAGTAGGCGCGAATGCCGCCGGAGTCGGTCGGCGAGGAGAGCCCATCATTGAAGCCCTCCATGATGATCATCTTGGTGGTGATCGACTGGAGGGGGCGCCGGGCGGGAAGCGGCCGGCTGGGACTGGCAACCGAGCGGGGCTTCCGCTCGGGCCGCTTCGGCCGGGCCAGCCGCGCGCGGCCGGCCGGCGCCGCCCCCGCCGAGCAATCAGAGAGCAGGGAAGGACAGCGGGGCGTACCACTGGTGGCGGAGGCGGCGATGGTGGCGGCGGCGGCGGCGGCGGCGGCGGCGGCGGCGTCGGTGGCGGCCGGCGGGGTGCCGCCATTGCCGCAACAGGCGGTCGAGCCGCAAGCGGCGCACGGCAGGCGGCCGGTCTCCCCGGGCACCGGCTGCGGCGAGGCCTTGCTGGCCGAGTTGACGGAGGAGGAGGAGGAGGAGGACCGCAGGAGCAGAGCCACCAGCAGCCCACCGAGGGCCACTCCGGCCAGGGTGAAGGCCCCGGCATGGGTGGAGTTCTCGCACGCCTGCGACAGGAAGGACCCGAGGCAGTTGGCTCCGGAATCCGGAAGGTTGTTGGCCGGCGAGGACATGGCGGGGCTACTGGGCAACGTCGAGGCAGGGGGCGCGGGCGGGCAAAGAGCAGGCAAAGGGGGGGGGGGGGAGAGGCATATGTCGGGCCTCGCCGGGCCTCCCCCCCGAGGGCGATCCGTGTGGGTGGCAAAAAAAAAAGACTGAGACCCCTCGCCCCGCGTGCAGCGGCACGCGTCCGGGGGGCGGGGGGCCGCAGGACAGGGCACACCCAAGGACGGCGGGCATGCTCCTGGCGGGAAGGGCCAAGGGGCGCGATGCCCGCGCCGAGGGGGTGTGATTCGTTACCGTGATGCGCGAATGGCGTTCCCCGGTGGCCGCCCAAAGCTCCACTTGGCCTGAAATATCTCCAAAAAGCGCTCCCGTGCAGAGGCCCCGGGCTGGCGGCGGCCCGAACCGCCGCCGTCGCCGCCGCCGCCGCCGCCGCCGTGTCGTCGCCACCGCTGCCATCACCCCGGGCCTCCGACCAGAACGGGTCCCGCGCCCGGGCGGGCGGCGTCGGGACCTGGGGCCGGGAGGACGAGCCGGCAAAAAAAAAATATTATTTAATTCACACACACGGCCCCAGGCGCGGAGGACCCGCGAGAACTCGCGAGCGGGAGCGCGCGCACGGAGCGCGGTCAAGTGAAGTCCTACCCCGGACCGGGGCCGGGCGGGCCGCTTTCAGCCGCGTTGCTCGACGGTCGCGCGACATGCTCCCCCCCCCCAGGGTGCGGCGGGGGACGTGTCTGGGGGACGGGCGTGGAACGCGCCGCGCATGCCGCGCGCGCGCGCGCGCGCGCCCGGCC